CCCTTAGGGAACACCATAAAACCCAAAAAAAAAAAAAAAAAGTTATTCTCTCTATGCTATTTTTCAATGTTTCAAGTGATGCAGGTGTTTTTTTTCCCTGTAGGTTTTTTAAATTAAAAAAAGCATAAATTTTACATAATGTTTAGTGAAATTATTTGATAGTCTGAGGTGGGATGGGGATTCGGGGGAGGGGGTGACAGATTATTTTATAGGTTTAAAGGGGGGCGCGACCAAAAAAGTTTGAGAACCACTGACCTAATGCTCAATTGATTAAACAATAAAGCTTTAGCAAAACCTCATTAAACTGTGCTATCATTTATGGTTTGTAAATGTTGATCCACTATTCTCTCAGGATTGGGGAGTGCAGCAGAAGAAGGCAAACCGCTCCTCTGAGAAGAACAGGAAGAAGTTCTCTGCTATGTCAGAGAGCCGGCTAACCAATGACATTTCTCCGGAGTCCACGCCTGGAGCAGGACGACGGAGGGCACGCACACCCCATTCCTTCCCTCATGTGAAGTACAGCACTCAAATGTCTGTGCCAGACCAGGCTGAGCTCGACAGACTCCGGCAGGTGATAAACTTCACAGACCTAGATGAGGTGAGTGGGGCTTTACAACCAGGATTAGTTTTGCAGCATGCTTTCCTGACTCATTCATTATGGCTGAAGTTCTAAGCTTCCTACTGTTTCAAGACAAATACTCACTATCAAATACTCACTATCAAATAGATCACTATCAATTTCAGGTCAGCTTTAAAAGCAAATGCAAATGTCAGTGACATCATTTGGTAAACCAAAATATCACTTTTCACCCCTACAGAGAAGTATTGGCAGTGACTCTCAAGGCCGTGTCACTGCAGCCAACAATCAGAGACAGCTGTCAACTGAGGCCAAGAAACCATTCAACTTCCTGCCAATTCACCTCAACACTAACAAAAGCAAAGAGCCCACTGCATCCACCTCTTCTACACCTGGGGGCAAGGAACCCAAGAAACAGAGTCCTGGGAAAGAGCTGTTTGCCCCAGTGCCAGCAGTGGTTAAAGAGCCTTTTAGTCTAGACTGTGCCCTACAGTTTGGATTGGAGGATGAAAAAGCAGAGCTTAGCATTGACAGCAGTCAGGTAATTTAAAGTTTAATGTCTTTATAATATCTTAATATTGTTTCTAGGTGTGTGCATGTGCATTTGTCATTAGGTGTGTTTACATGGACCATTGTATTCCGAATAAAATCGGTTTATAAGTCCAATCCATATGCAATGTGGCATGTAAACACCTCATCGGAATAAAAATGCTCAAACCGATTGAAATTTCAATTTGCAATTAAATTTTTTTGCGCATGTGACGTATGACACACAGAACGAGCTTGATGCTGTTGTTGTTGTTGAATATAACAAATTAATGTTGTCAATCTAAAATCCTCTTTCCACTCTTTCAACTTTTATTTTGAAGTCGCAATGAACAGTTAGCATATTTAGAAAGATAACAATGTATTCTCCTTTGTTGGTGTAGGTTTATAAATTATTTACCTTTATAAATCTGAAACGTTATAAGCAACTTAGCATACTTAGCATAGACTCACAGCATATGCAAAGATGGAATTTGAGAAAATCCGCGCATGTAAATGATTACTGTTTGTGTGGAGCAGCATTTACTGTGAACGGAGCCGCTCTGAGATGCACATGTAGACCTCCACGCATATAAATAAAGTGCATATTAAACCTGCAGCGCATATAGCCTATTTATTAACTGAATCACAGCCTTTGTGAATTCACAACAGCACTATGCTTTATTGTAGTTTCTAAATAGTTTTAATATTTCGTGCTGCCTTGAATGGTCAAATAGCCTAATGCTTTTCATGGATTCTTGTCCATGGAATGCACCACTTACGGTATTTTGCCGATTAATAGACACAGGCAAAATGCAATTGATTATTATTATTTTTTTATAATCGAGAACTCAAATTTATTCAAAGAAACCTGACCGCCCTACTTGTGACACATAAATGCGCTCATCAACCTGATCACTTTATTAGGTATTTATGTAAACACTATGTACACTTTCGATGCACCATTAACAATTTTAAAACTTTTTTGATTTAACCTCTACAAGTCTCTTCCTCATTAGTCTGAAACCATCAAGCTTCAAGTATTATTAATGCAAACTATTATTACACTGCCTATTCAGAATAACAAGGAGGCTGTTTGTAAAAGACTTTAGAATGATCTTCTCTTAAATGTTAAATGTAGATGGCACAACTTCACTGTGTTCATTAGAACATTCCCTCCTGTTGTTGCTGAGCAAAAACTGGAGCACAGATGTGTCAGTGTGCACTCAGAATTTAGGCCAGTTTAAAAATATGCCACTGTCCATGTGAGAGCTCTTCCTCGGTCTCTTTCTCTGCTCTTCTCTGTCTCTCTTTGCACCTCCTGTTATCTTTTCCATCTATTTCTCAGTCTGTTTGCCTTTTCTATTTGTTTGTTTTATTTCCTTTTCTGCTTGTGCACCTCTGTTCACTCACACACAGTTTCTTCATTCAGGTGGTCAGCAAACTGGTGCAAATTCGTGAATACATCGGGAAGGCCACATCCATGAGAGACGACCTGGTGGAAAAGAACGATGTGCCTGCAAATGTGGAACGTCTCTCTCTCCTTATCACTCACCTGAAAGAACAGGAGAAGTCTTACCTGCGTTTTCTTCAGAAGATGTTGGTCAGTATTTCTCTCTCAGGTCTTTAGAAAGTTGTTATTGTGTTTTATATGCACTTTAATGACATTTATACACAATTACTTTTTTTTTTAGTTTGTATGAATCATTGTTCAGATGAATATAACAACAATTTCCGGTACTGTGGGATTTTCAGTGGTTGATGGTATTGTAAATATACGTCTAACATAAGAAATTGTCATGCAAATTATCTTAATACATAAGAACTATTTGAAGATTATCTCTGCTTTTTAAGATGCAAACATTATTTGTGAATTGCTAAACTGCAACACTGTTCAAGGACTCGTGACTACTGCCTAAATATCCAAAATAGGACTATCAGTGTTTATGCTTGTGATTGTTTAACGGTGTAAATACAATTATTTTTGATATGACATTGTCACAGAGACAGGTGTGATTTCTTAAGACCTCTATTTCAAGTAAATTTGTCAGGTAGAGGCATTTTATTTGTGGTTTTCTTTAAAAAAAAAAATACAAAGGTAATTGAAACTCAAGTATGAAAATATCAATCATGAGTAAAGCGACTAAATTTGTACATAAATAAATCAGAAGGCCATCAGAGTGCTGCAACAGCATATTAGCTGCAAAAACAAGATGATGACAAAGTGTGGGGAAAATTGCAGGTTATATAGCTCAGTGTATATGCTCATTTCCTAGGCATTTTAATGTAGTTTGAGAAATATGGAATCTTCTGTTTTAAAATTGCATTTATGCATATTCATTTAGCAGATTAAAATGACAGAAAGCAGAAGCATATTTAGTTTGAAATAGATTTCTGTCATTTTGAGATGTCATGAGAGAAGAAAGGATGTTGGATTGATTGTTGTGGGGAAGAGAACAGGGCAAGTCAAATGAGTACAGACGAGTCAAATGAGTGCCTCGCTGCTGACATTTGCCTGATGTTATATACGTACATATGTACGTTGAGTGTTATCCACACAAAATTGTTGAAACCAATTATTGCTCATTTTATTATAATTTTCTCTTTAAAATAATGCATTAACACATTAACTACAAAACAGTTAGATTAATTGTGATTAATTCTAGATCTATTGTCAGATTGCACAAAATTTATCAGCAGTCTCTCAATAACCTGAATCATACCACAGATATGCAGTGTTAGGCTTTGTTCTTAGTGGCATAGGCTTGATAAATGTAGAGCTCAAATCTAGGGCAACATGTCGTCTTTCTTCCCCTCAGCTTGTTTTTGCACTTAAGTGTGACCTCGCTGGCTGTGTGCATATGTTTTTGAGTGTAAAGCTCAATGAAAAATGTATATTTTTCCAGGTTCTTTGTATTGAGCTGTTGCCTTTGTTTGGTTTACTCCTCTGTATAAATACCCAAATATAGCAGTATTAGTAAGTGTCTGCAGCTTCTAAATTGGGTCTGTTCTGAGCCCTGCCCCTCCTCCCTACGCTTTACAGGCGAGGGAAAATGAGGATGAGGAGGATGATGAAGGTGCCACAGTGGACTCTGCAGTGGGTTCAGGCTCAGTGGCCGAGAGCACGTCTCTGAACCTGGAGCCACGCTCTGAAGCCTCCAGTGCCACTGTGAGTATTCACAAAGGCCCCTTCTCTCTGTGTGATGCCTGAACTGAACATTGATCAGGATGCAACAGGCATGCAAGGTGGAATCTAGAGCTCATGCTTTGTAAGCGTAGTTGGCTAATTGGATTGCTGATTCCTCTTAACAGATGGGAAATGTGTTTTATAGTTATTTATTTGGCTTGTTTGACCTGTTTTTCTAGTTTGTCATTGAAGGTCATTGGTCTAGTGTTTTATAATTGACTCTTTTCCTGCCGTTTTTTTGTATGAATTAATGGCAAATTGTGACATTAAAGCAACACAGCATGACTTTTTATGTACAGATGATTGTGTCATTTTAAAATGTGTTTTTGGTGAGAGACTGCAGGAAGAAATTTGAAGCAGACTCATTTCCATGGAACTGCAAAATGATGTTATTTGAAGCGTATGCAGTTCAACAGGTTCTGCTTTTTAGACGCTGCCCTTTTACTTTCTTTTTATCTTCAGTCAATGAGTTGATCCCATTCTTAGATGCCGAGTGGCTAATTATCTGCTGCAGGTCTAACTTGGTATCAAGGGCTTGAAAATGAAAAAGAATTCAATCGGTTCACTCCGAGCAGAATCGATATTTTGTTGTAAATACTTTTTATTGAGTTTTGACATATACAATTACATTAACAACCATCACACCCTCCCCCCCACATACACACGACTTGGCCAAATGTAGGCAACTAAACAAAAGAAATAAATCGCTGTTGTGTTGTTAACGCTTTAAAGACATTAAAGTATTTAAGATATTTAAAAATGTTTGCTGCATTGTTAAAAAAAATGCTACTCGTAGAAAAATTGCGTTTTGAGAGGAAAAAAAACATAGACTTAAGTCACGTAGGTTCACGTTGCATTTTACTATTACATTTAGAAATGTAGGCTAAAATGCCAGTAAACCAAATGTTTACAAACATTATAAACAGTTATTAGTTTCCTTCTCTCCACAACAAATAAGGCTACCTCTCTCATTTGGCACGAATCCAAATGTTTCCATATTCACGACGTATCTGGATGCTAAAATATTATTTATTATCTAATAGGCTTTGCTTTGTACTTCACTCGCATCGACGTAAAACATCATCCTTCACATCGGCTATTTCAGCACATTGAGGCGGTGGTCACACTGAACGCAACAGATTGTACAATGGAGCAGTGTAACTTTTTATGTTTCTTTAACTGTATTTATTTTGATAGTGAACAGGCTGCAATGTCGCTAAAATATGTTGTCATTAGGGCTGTCGCGATTCGTCTTTTTTATTCGACTATTCGATTTTTAAAAATCCTCGACTTCATAAATTTCAATACCGTGATAATACCGCATACCGTGATAAAAGCATTAGCAATTAATCGGAACATGAAAATTTGATACCGGCATATCCCTACTGGTAAATACTCCTTTAAAAAGTGTTTTTTGATAATTTTATTATTAGTAGACTAGAACACGTGGATATGTTGTCATTCTTACACTATAATACTGAACTTTGATTTCAGTGATTTGGACTATGAAATGGATGCACTTTACGTTTGCTTTAAAAAAAGGATTTCATAGAAATTTGGATTTCATTTGGTTTAATAAAATATAGTTTAATAAAATATTCTTAAGTAAAATTGTTTATTTTTTTTGTGGGAAATTAATTGTTTAGATTAATCAATTAATCGATAAATTAGTCGATAGATTAATAAAAATAAAAATAGTCGTTAGTGGCAGCCTTAGTTGTCATACCAACGCTGGTTGAACAGATAAAAGCAAAACATCATTCAAAACTGTCTGCAAAATAATAACTGTCTGCAGAAAACTACTTTCTGCCATCTCATTTCCTTTCCTTGAACTTTGGATCACATCAAAATAAACCGAAACTTTTTTTCTTATGTTTTGTTAATCTGTCAATGATTTAAGTGAAGTATTTCGTGTATAGACCTATATTCCTTTTTATGAAAGCCTACAGTTTTATTCTGTTTTCTCCGTTCACAGAAGCGCTGCAGGTGCGTGTGATCTGTTGAATCCATCTTTCACTATCCTCAGATAAACTCTTAATGCATTGCCATTGCGACTTACCTATGATGAGTTGACAGCTGAGCGTGGGCATTTCACTCGCTGGATGCGTCAGCGTCACATTTGCATAGGCCGTACTACTGGAGTTCGTGATTGGTTGACAGCAAATTTCAAATATTAAATGGAATGATAAAATAACGTTATTAACTGGTTAATGGCCATTTCAAATTTTAGATTCTGTTCGGAACTATAAAATTTTATTTCGTTTCTGTTTCTGGTTCTGTTCCTGTCAAAATTTCGTTCGTTTCTGGTTTTCGTTTTCGTTCTCGTTCCTTGAACCGGTTCAGAGCCCTGCTTGGTATTATAGATTTCATTTGAGGATAAAGCAACCAAAAGCCTCACAAGTAAAAAAGTGCTTTAAAGTTTAGTTACTTGTCCATGGCTGACTATTATGGGGTTCAGTGCTTGGAGAACAGCTAATTCTGTGGATTTACTGCTTCATCAAATGTCTTTAAATTGTGTGATGTGATTATGCACCACAGGCTCAACAGTAGGTATATTTCCTGCTATCCTGTGGCTGGTTGCATAAGCTAGTTAGGCTAATCTTAAGTAAATAAAATTAGTATTCAGAAACGAATGTTTAAAAAAACTTCGAAAATCAGATAAATGGCAAAAGTCAACAGGCTTTTCAAAATTCAAAATATTGCTAAACAGGCACTTTTGCATTTCGTTTCGAAACTAAATCATCCGCGATCGTCTTGTCTGTCTCACCCCTCTTTTCTTGTCAGTCAGCTCGACTCACTCTCCTCACTGGATAAATGAAATCTGATCTGTGATGCAACTGTCGTTCAGCACGCTGCATTGAGCAGCCACGTTCAGTTTTTAATTGTAGTGTCTGTTCTTTTACTGAACTAAATGATTTTTATTACTATACAAAATCAAAACGACGGTGGGGGTCGTGACGTGGTGGGCAAGTGACGTAACCGGTGTTGCGGCTTAACACGGTATCACCATCAGCACCGTCTATCGCGGCAAGCCTATCTTACACTGGAACTCTCTTACACCCTGGGCCTTGGTCAGCAGGGATCCTTATTGTTGAGCCCAGGCATTAGCTGACTGTAATGTCTCTAACAACCTGCAACCTCAGCATGTTGTTGTTATTACATAGTTCCACAGGTTGATAACTAGTAATTTGTCCTCATGATATTTTTCTCTATCCTTCTCAGGGCCATGGTGTGTGTGGAGAACAGAAAGAAGAGCTGGAGAACATGAGAAAGCAGCATGATCTACTAAAAAAGATGCTAGAACAGCAGGAACAACTCCGAGCACTACAAGGCCGTCAGGCGGCACTGCTGGCCATGCAGCAAAGTGCTGAACAAGCAATAGCAGTGATGGATGACACTGGTGCGGGAAACATATTTACTTCATGCTGCTTGAAGTTAGAATTGTTTCCATTTTTATTGACATTGTTTTTGCATTACAGTTGTTACAGAGACTACTGGAAGTGTGTCTGGAAGGAGCATTACCTCAGAGCTCAATGATGAACTCAACGATCTTATCCAGCGCTTTCATAACCAACTGCATGATTCTCAGGTACATACACGCACACACACCTAAGCCTGATTTTTATTTATAAATTTATGTATAATTTATTTTCATTGGAATTCAACAGACAAAACACTAGAAAGTATTTTAATATGTGAAATATTTTTTTTGTGCTCTAGGCTTTTAAAATCTCATATGGTAAATATTAGTTATAGAATAATATATAAAGAGAGAGAGAGTGACTGCATTGCAGTTTGACATTTCAGCATCTATAAGTGAAAACAATTGTTGAATGACGTATATAACCACATCACATGACGTAGCATTAAATTTAATGTTTAACTACTGTGACATTTAAAAAAAAAAAAAAAAAGTTTTCTCTGTTCCAATTGGGAATAAATTGTACTTTTGTTATTGTTTTGGCAGTTTACTGTTTTACAATGTAAGAACACTTGCATTTTCACATGTAATGTTTTTCTCGTCTTCCAAAAAAAAAAAAGTGACGAAATACAAGGTGATAACATTTACTTTTGTGCAATGGTTATAAACTGTTTGATATTGTGTTGTGGCATTAAATTTAATGTTTAACTACTGTGACATTTAAAAAAAAAAAAAAAAAAAGTTTTCTCTGTTCCTAAATAAAACAGAAACTAACAACTAAATTTCTATTTTTCTCTCTCAGTCTCAGACGGTCCCTGACAACCGACGACAGGCAGAATGTCTCTCTCTTTCAAGAGAGGTGTGCCGATCACGCACTACCCATAATTCCAGGAGTCAGTTGCCCTCCTCTGCCCCACTAACTACTGCATCAACATCCTCCAGCACTAAACCCACCAAACTGCTGGAACTACAGGACAAAAAGCAGACCATGGACAAGATCCTTCAGGAACTCCACTCCCTTAGAGACCAGACCCTTAACAACAGTTCATGTAAGCCCCCTCACATAGCAAATGTAGTTACTATGAGCTTTTCTATTTTTCACAAGCCCCTTCCCTTTAGATCAGGGTTCCTCAATTAGTTTTCGCCGAGGGCCGAATTCTGCCAACAATACCAAGCCAAGGGCCACTGATATATATATATATTAGGGCTGCACGATAAATCGCATGCGATATTTAATGCGCATCTAGTCAGTAAAGCCGCTTCTGTAATCACGTGCGGGCTTTCACATTGAGCAGCATTTACTACACAGAACCGTTGTTCACTGTTTAGCTGCGCAAAAAATCGCGCGATTATGAAAGATTTTTTCCCCAGTAGTCTGTTTTATTCAAACAATTATGAACATTTTTGCATTTAGATACAGAAGAACTTTGCCTGTTGAATATTAAAAACAAATTAGCAAACAAAAAATCTGGATCTCCATGTCTGCCATGCAAATCAACTGTTCCTGCTTTTTCCCAGACTGGATCTCTTCTCTCCACTTTCCCTAATTGCAGATTCAATTATTAGATTTGTCAGTATTAATATTTTTATACTTAGATTTGTTTGGGGGGATCAAACTGTAACAACGTGTGTCCCAACCAGACACGGCCGATAAAAAGTATCTTTTCCATGTAGTTTTTGTTCTAACCACCCGCGACAGCGACACATGACAATAAGCGACACAGAATTCTATTTTAGAAATGTTTTTTATTTTCTGCGACGTCGCGGCAGGAACAACATACAAAATATGACAGTGATAATCTCAGGTAATTATTTTGTGCTTTATTCAATGTTAAAAGTGTCTAATGTGAGTTTGAATATTATTTTGCGTTATCTTTATAGCCATAGTGAAAGCAACAATAGATATTTTACCTCAGATCTTGAAAATAAATTAAAGCAAACTTGTACGTTAAAACTGTGAACTCACTGCGAACCAACATCCATAACAAAGATGGTATCACTCACTCACTCACTCAAAACTGTTCAGTCCATTCACATTTGAATCATCTATTTTCCGTGTCCACTTTTCTTTTCTACACACTCACCATGTTTTTGCTGTCACATCG